GAAAGAGGAAGGGAAGGAAGGAAGAAAGAATGTTACAAAAATCTTTTTAAAAATACGTATTTTGGGGGACCAGCAGGTGGTTAAGATGCTGGAAACTCCCACATGGCTGAGCACGGGTTGAGTCCTGGACTTGGCAGCTTGCTTTCTCATTTTTCCTCTCTTTCTCTCTGGTCAAATTAAAATGAATGAATAAATAAAAATAATTCTTAAAAAAAAATTTGTTTTCCAGAGTAAGTTGAGTCAAGGGTTGATGAGGGTGGAACTCCCCCCACCATTCCAGGAAAGCCTCACCTTCTGCGCTGTAAGGCCTACCCCTTAGCAGGAGAAATGCTTGTCTCCCTCACTCTGGGCAGGAATACGTGGGTCTAGAGGGAGGAACCTTCTACGAGACCCTGCGGGAGGTCCTGGGCAACACCGTCCTCACCCCACGCTGTGCAGTGTCCCAGAGAGCTCAGTTCTCCCCTGGCGTTTTCGCGTCCTCCTTGCTGTGTTCCAGGATGTAGGTGTCACTCGTGGCCTAGAAAGGGGTGGGAAGGCCCAGTGGCAGGGTGGTGGCCATTACAGTCAGCTCTTGGAAGAGGCCGCACCCAGCTCTTCTCCCCTCCCTCCTGCCCTGCTGCAGCAGCCTAGGAACATCTGCGCAGCTACTCCCCACGTGCTGCTCCGCCCCTCTGAGTGCAAACCGGAGGCGGAGTCTTAGGTGGGGACGGGCACGAGAAGTACCAGGAGCGCAGGTCCCGGTCAGGAGCCCAGGATGGCTGAGCTGGCCCCTCGTTGTTGGAGAGCTCAAACCCAAACCCGAGACCTGCTCATTCTGAAAAACAAACCCCACCTTCCCTGGGCTTGTGGCTGTGTCCAAGGCCCGTGGGGAGAGCCTTGGGTGGAACTCTGACCTGCTCTCGGCAGGAGAGCGGAGGGTTTAAAGCCAGCGACTCACCGGGCCGACGGTGGAGTTGGGAGGTTGAGGGTGGCAGAAGCGTTTGCGGAGAGCCTCTCGTACCTGCAGGAGAGGTGGAGGGCCCTGTCATGCCCGCCCAGGCCCTGGCCCCCAGACTGCCAGTCAGGTGGGTTGTGACAGGCGGGCTCACCTTCTTATCCATGAGGCAGCCGAACAGTAGGATGAAGACACCCTGAGAGAGGGGAGGGGCTGAGCTGGTCAAGCAGGAAGGAACCCTCAGATCCCCTTGCCTCTCTCCCTCCAGGCCCAGTGCTCCCCGCTAAGACATCCCCACGCCTCCCACTGGGTTTTCTATACTTTAGCACTGTTTGGTGCAAAGGATCTATTTCCGGTGTTTTCTTGTTATGATTGCAAAGAGGATCACAAAGGATTGGATACTGACAATTTCTTTTTTCCTTTTTGCTAGAGGGTGTATGTGCTTGCCAGACAGAGACAGAGACAGAGGGAGAAGAGAAAGCACTCCCCATAGGGAATGGTCATGCCACAAACCCTTCTCCTTCTCTCCCTCCTTGTGGGGTTTTAGGCATGTGCACATGCATGTCTGGCATGTCTCTCAAGCCACCAGGTCTGGAACAGCAACCGTGGGGTCAGCCATGTGGGCTCCGGCTGTCTTAACCACCAGACCATGGAGGGGTCTAATACTGACAATTGTTGGATTTCTCTGGGAAAATTGGGTATTATTTTACAGATAAAAAAAATGAAGCTCAGAGAGGTTATGTAATTTGTCTGAAGTTATCTAGCTAGTCAGTGGAGGAACTGGGGTCTTTCTAAAAGTCCTGAACCCGTGTTTTCTCTCCCCACTATGGCACCTTCTTGAGAAGGGATTGACAGGACTTAGGCCATCTCAGAGGGCAGACAGCACGGCCATGGCCTACCACCCACCTGGGAGCTGTTGAGAACGGTGAAGACGTAATGAGGGGCTGTGGAGACTTCCTCGAACAGAGTGACCAGGCCCAGCCCCCAGGTGAGACCAAAGATGGGTGTGAGAACGAGCAAGGCTTTGATCACCCCCAGGAGAGCTTGGCGCTTCTCCACCGGGGGCCCCTCTGACAGTGAAGGTCTCAGCAGCTTCAGCACAGCCATAGCTAGAACCAGCCCGTTCATGCCCACAATGGTCAGCACTGGCCCCACGAAGGTGTAGAGCGCTCCTCCCTTCCAATCCAACCAGCATTCCCCCTCCTTCAGGTATTGGCCTCGTGGCAGGTAGAGGCCCAGGGTGGCACCTGCGAACCCCAGTGGGCACAGGTAGCCCAGGGCCACCATCAGGGGCAGCACTCGGTGCTTGGACAGCTGGTGGAAGACGAAGAGCAGCTGGTGGGCCAGCACCAGGGCCTGGGCCAGCATCCAGAAGAAGGTGGCCAAGTAGAGGAAATGGCAGAGGAAGGCAGTAGCCAGGCAGAGCGGGCTGCGGGGCACCGGGGGAAGCAGCAGGGCTCCCAGGAAGCAGCTGTCTGCGGCCAGCAGGCAGAGCACCACGTTGAGCAGGGCGGTGTGGCGGAAGTAGGCAACCTTGTTCCGCACCACGACTCTCCACACTAGCCTGTACACACCCAGGCACACCAGCAGTGCCAGGATGGACGCCCCCAGGCCCACCTGACTCAGTAGTCCCAGGGCAGGTGTCTTTGGGGGTGCCTGTCGGGACATGAGGGTGGAGAAGGCAGTGAGGTGCTGGCAGGTGCACTGGGTGGTGTAGGGGCTAGCACTGGCTGGCTGGGCCTGGCACCCTTTCTTGGACCACCCGCCCCTGCCCTGGAAGAGATGGTGATCCCAGAAGACACAGCGAGGGGCACCATCTGTGCCCCCAAAGTCCATGATGACCTGTCCCTGGTTGAAGGTCTGGCCACCTGTCATGATGGAGATGACTAGGAGCAGATCGGGAGTGGTATAGAGGGAGTCCCCCAGCCCTTGCCCATAGTTGGAGGGCAGAAGATGGTCCAAGTTTTGTAGCACCAGGCTAGTAATACTGACGTTGGTGCCCAGTGGGGCCAGCGAGCGCCTGGGGATCTGTGCCCGCACTGGGGGCTGAGTGGAGAAGGAAACTCTGTAGTCATCAGGAAATGTGGGTCCCAGGAGCTGGGTCTGCAGCAGCACATTGGGCAGGCTGGAGGAGAATGGCTGATCCTGGGGGCACAGGCTGCGTGCCAGGGTCTCCACAGCCAGGAGGAGAGTTGAGCCCGCCGAGGGCTTCCGGGCCCGGGCCGGGGTCCACAGAGATCTGCTGTCCATGGCTAGGACCTGGTCTGTGGTGGTCAGGAGATCCTGCAGCAGCCAACAGAGAGGTGAGTCCCATCTGCTAGAGCCTGCAGGGCCACGTGGGCACAGGAACAACAGACCCACACTGCCTTCCTCGTCCAGTGCAAGACTCGAGGTGGGAGGAAAGCAGAGAGGAAGACGGGGAGACTTTCTGGTGAGGCAGGGTGGGGAGCTGCTTAGGCAACCACCCGGGGCCCCTCCCGGTATGGTCTCCTGAGCCGCACCAGCCCTCTGCCTGACAGCCCTTCTTTCACTTCTATCCCTTGGAGCCACCCAGATCCTAAAAAGGCCCCTCCCAGTCCCTTGGCCCCTGCAGGCCTGCAGAGCGAGGAGTGGTGGTCGGCGGTGGAGGGCACAATGCTCCCAAGTCGAGGGCCACGTGGACGCCCTCACCCAGCTGAGCTGTACATTCCCAGACAGGAGGAGGGGAGAGCCTCACCCCGTTACTCTTCCAGCTGCAGCTGTGGGTCCCCACTGACGCCCGCTGAGGACTCACTGAGGTGCACCTACAGAGCTAAGCATGTCTGAGTATCTCCACGCTGGCGTCTCGAGTGTGTGTGTGTGTCCTGTCCACGCATCTGTGTGAGCACGCCTGCCTCTGTAGTCAGGCCTCCACACCCCGTCCTGCCTTCCAGCCTCCTACGTGTTGCCAGCCCAGGCCCTTTCTCACCCCATGACCTTGGAGATCTGGGTCCCAGAAGAGAGATGGAGCAGGGGAGAGGACGCCAGGACTCCAGAAGGATGGCATTAGAGGGGCAGAAGCCCGCTGCAGAGCCTCCATGGCCCGCTGCCCAGCTGGCTCCGCTGCGGCTCAGAGATCTCACCTCCAAGGCACTGCGGTCAAGTTGTATTCTGGCTTCTGCCACCAACTCGGCCAGGAATTTCAAGGTGCCCAGCAGTGCCAGCAAGTCAGAGGGGGATTCTGCCACCACCACCTGCCTCGACAGCTGGGCCAGGATCTGCGGCACCTCCTCGGCAGGCCTGCCCTGGCCTGCTCTCAGCAGCTAGGACAGACAGGACAGCGGGAAGGCAGGTGGCTGGAGAGTCCACAGAAGTGAGGGGTCGCTGTTCCTCCGGTCCAGGTCCCCGCCCCTTCCCCATCCCCAAGGGCTTCCAGGGGAAGCAGGAAGCAGAGAGGGGAGTGAGTGAGCCATGGGGAAGGGACTGACTCCAATGTCGGCAGTGGGAGGAGGAACACTTGATGGGACAGTGGTCTGAGAATAGCATCCCACCCGGTGGATCAGACCAGCCACTCCACGGCCCCCAGACCTGCCTCCTGCTTCTCCTGGGGCTCTGTTCAGAAAAGCTGGATAACCCGTGGGCTGGGCCTCAGGGGGAAAGGATCTTAGGGCTGGCTGGGTCCTGGGGAAGGAAGGGGCGGGTCCTGGATAGGGAGGCACGTGGGCGGCTGGACAGCTTTACCTTGGCTCTGGAGAACAAGGCCAGGAGCCCCAGGTCTGTGCAGCTGCTGTGGATGGGCCCCCACACCCCGTCAGGCCCACAGGGCCTCTTCACCACTCCCCTCTTGTTCATGGGACATGGGGCCTGTGCCACGTGGCCAGCCTTGGTGACGTTCCAGGCAACAGCTGAGGAGTCCTCAGGGCAGGTAGTGTCCCCATCTGAGAATGACGACGTGGGGATTCAGGATTGCGGCCTAGCCCGAGCCTTTCTTTCCCGGGCAAGAAGACATGCAGGCCCCAGAGCCTAGCCCAGCAGGGAGCTGAGAGGCCACCCCCTGGACCCCGAGCCCCACACACCCCGGATGACGGTGACGGAGACAGGGACCCTGAGAGGAGTCAGGCCTGGGCTCTGCAGGTCACAAGTGTACGTGGTGTCAGCTGCCGGGCAGCGCTGAACGGTCAGCAGGAGGCACTGAAGGCCTGACACGTTGAGCAAGGAGGCTGAGGGTGAGAGAGAAGGGAGCCATCACTGGGCCTGGCACAGGCCTCGATCCCAGCAGCCCCACACGTGCTGTTTCTGCCTGTGGCACAATTTCAGAGGCAGATGAAGCAGCGGAGAAGAGCCGGGTGGTACGTGGGCATCCAGCGACTGAGGGCAGACCTTGGATTGGCTGAAGGGGACCCTGGGGATCTCGAACTAGGGCTTAGTTCCACCTTTGTAAAAGGGGGACTACCATCAAACCAACCTCAGGTTTATCGTGAGAGCTAAATGAGATGAAATGGGTGAAAGCATTCTGCAGGAAGTTACCTGCACACCCGCGGTTACATCAGCAGAACTGGCTCGCTCTGATGGGGTAGGGGCACTCTTGCACTTGGAGCTCCAATCCCCCTGTGGAACTGCAGCTTCTGCTCCTCATGGGCTGAAGGCCCTGCTTCCTGGAGGAGACTGGCTGCCCCCTTTGACTTCGTACCCCCAACAACTGACCCCTTCTCATACCTTCACTGCCTCCTCCAGGGCTCCAGGCTGCGGTGTAGACCAAGTTTGTGCGGGGGATGCAGCAGCTCAGCTGGAAGTCAGGGGAGGTGGCGCAGGAGATGGAGAGCTGGTCTGGGAGGCGAGTCACGTCTGTCGCCTGCAAAGGCACCCTCACGGCCTGGTACAGCTCCCACCTGAATCCCTGGGCCTCAAAGGAGCTTGTGTACTCACCTGCAGACACACACCCACTGCACCTCGGGGCTCCCAGGGCCCCTGTGCCACAGAATCTCTAGCATCTCAAGCCACAGACGAGGTCTGGCTCCTGGTTCCTCTCCCTGCCTCTCCACTGGTGCTTAACCCCAGCAAGAAAGGCCCCAGGGTGGATGTTCGGAAGACAGTCTGTCCCCCAAGAGGACTTTGAGAGGAAGAGGGATCTGTGGCAGAGGCTCTGACCGGTTCTTGCTAGCCTGTGGCCGTGAACTCTAGCTGTAACTGCTCTCCCTAGAATAGATGCCCTTCTTGCACCACCCCCTGACATTTTAGCATCTTATAAAACATGAATCTGGGGCCAGCAGGTGGCATGGTGGTTAAAGGCGCTGGACTCCCACATAGCTGACAGCGTTTCGAGGCATGGACCTGGTGACTTTTAGGGGGAAAAAAAAAACTATGAGAAAAAGAGAAAAAGGCCATATGTTTGGCATTCTCCATGTAATGACTTTCTGAACAAAAATGTTTTTATGTAAAATAACTATATTTTTCAAAACAAAAAGCATAAGTTAAGAGTGACATTGTTTTACATTTTGCAAATCTCTTTAATATCTGGCTTCATGGAAGCCATCTGGGTTCTCCCATCTGCTCCTCATTCGACCTGTGTGATATTACAGCAGTCTACAGAAGACAGCACGTCCCCTCCTGAGGGAGTGAGTGTGAGCGAGGCCAATGACATCGTTTATATTAGGGCACTAGTGGGACTGTGTGAACCCCTGAAAGGGGTCAGTCTCAGGCCACAGTGTAAACAGCTGGCTGTTTTTAGAATATTATACACAATTTCTACACCGACCAGCCTCTTAGCCTTTGTTTCCCTAGAATTAATAAATGGGGGCCCAGGCCAGAAGGTCATACGGTGGTTAAGGTAGCTGGATCCCACATGGCCACCTGTGTGGTTCAAGTCCTGGACCCAGCAGCTTGAAAAACACACTGAGTGTGTGTGCATGTGTGTCCAAAATCCCAAGAGGAGACTGGAAGAGAAGTGACTATGGCTTGGCCACTGCCCCTGGGGGGGTCTCACTTTCCTTCCATCCCTCTCTCTCTCTCCCCGGTGAGTGCACACAACTTATAGCAAAAACAAAAACAAACAAAAAAGGAAAAGAAGGACAGAGAAGGTGAGAGGAGTGGAAAGAAGGGGTGAAGAGAAGTAGAGACAAAAAGGAAGGAAGAAGAAACAGGAAGAAAAAGAAAGAGGAGAGAGACGAGGGGAGGACAGTCTGGCTACCCGCCCAGTGCCGGGACACGTTGATGATGCTGAGGACGGCCTGGCCCTGGCTGGAGGTCAAGGACACTTGTGTCCCTGGCTGCAAGAGGATGGGTTTGGGTCTCCCCAGGCGCTTCAAGAACCAGCTCAGCTCCGTGACCTCCTGGCTTAGGAGGAGCGTCAGGGTCAGCGTGTGGCCGGGCATCGGCAGCTGGGAGTCCAGGCGCAGGATTCCGGGGACTGCAGCGGGGCAGGAGACAGGGGCCCTGGAGGAGGTGCTGCTGGCCTCAACTGCAGCAAAGCAACCCCTGCCTCTCCATCTCTGCAGCCCGCCCCTCCACACTCCCTCCCTACCTAGCTTTTTACTTTGTCCCTGGATGGGTATCTATGCTGGCTACTGTAACCCAGTCTGGAAGACCCTGTCTGCCACTGGGAACCAGAAAGGGGAGTTTGGGGCCCATGACTCTCCCCTAGGACCCCTCACCCCCGGTAACTTGGGGCTGCTCAAGCCACTTCCTGGCCCCCTAGGTAAAGAGCAGGGTTCCTCTGCCCTTCTCCCCTTGCCCATAGGTCTCCGGGCCCTGTTCACTAGTCTCACTGCTCAGGGCCCCAGATCAGAGCTGTCATCTGCTGGCTTCTTCCCCGACCCAGAGGAGCAGCTGGGCTTGGGCGCCGGCAGAAATCCAGGTCCGGAGAGGAAAGGAGCACAGAGCTCTGTTTTCTCTCCCTCCAGGCCACAAGTTTCCAATTCCCAGCCCTCCTCACCAGGCGGCAGCAGCTGGCAGTGCCCGTGTTCGGGTGGGACAAAGACGAGACAGCCACAAGGCTGCTGGCTGTGGGGGCGTTGGCAAGGAGGGTGACGGGAGCAGATGCTGGCGTTCCACTGGTACCCGGAGAGGCAAGCACAGTACATGTGCCCTTCATGGTGAACGCCGCACTCTGTGACAGAGAAGGGCGTAAGGAGTGGGCAGGCAGGCGGAGAGAGCCGGGTGGCAGGACCAGCAACTTCCTGGTAAGGAAGGAGCTGGGTCCGAAGAACGAGGCTGCCCTCTAGGAAACAGGGAGGGGCCCGCAGCCTCTTAGGCAGGGTGGCTGGGGAGGGCTGGGAAGCCATGTTCCATCACTCTGGGCCCCTGCCCAAGCAAGCGTACCTGTTGTGAGGCTGAGGCTGGTGAGAGCCATTGGGGGAAAGGAAGCCACAGGGAGAGCCAGTGTCTGGGACAGTGCTGGTAGCCAGGTCTCATTGGAAAAGTCCAGGTGGACATAGACAGAGACCAGGACTGACTCTACAGGAGCAGAGGGGACAGCTGAGAGGAGAGGGGGCCAGGCCACAAGCCTTTTGCTCCCTCCCCCTGCCCCACCTGGCCATTCCCAGGAACATGGACCAGACCCCTTCCCTAGCCTATATAGGTAGCCACTGACCGGGGAAGGCAGTGACTGCTCCCCAGCCAGTGCACGCGGGTGCACTGCTTCACGTCATCCTCCCATGGCCCCAACACCATAGGTGAGGGTCACGAAGGTTAGTGAGGGTCGAGGCTGTGCACGACCTGTGAGACCTCCCTCTCCCTCCATGCTCCCTTTTTTCCGCCTTGTTCCCTGCACCCATCTCCTCCTCCCCCTCCTCTCCTGTCCACCTACTCACCCCCTGCTCTGCTCTCTTGGTTCGGGTGCTGGCCAGGTTCCCCTCCAGCCTGACTCTGTCCCTAGAACAGAGCACAGAGGGGAGACCTCTGAGAGGCTGCCCCCAGGTTCCTCCCAGGGGTAGCTCAGGGGCTAGACTGGTATGACTTGATCCTTGGGAGCTCTTCTTTTGGCTGAGAATCAAGCATTCACATCAGGAGGGGAAAGCATGCTTCTGCTGGAGGGGGTCACGGATGCAATCCCAGGAGCCCCACCGAGGCCTGCAGTCCCACCTGAAACGAGGAGCCGGGCACACCCCGGGGAGTCAACATGCTTTGTTTAATTCCTTCCTGAATGCACTGTGCCCGGGCCTGTGGCCTGACTGACAGGCATCTGGAGCTTGAGCAGGGACAGCTGGGCAGAGCTGGGGTGCAGGGACTTGGGGGCCCAGGCAAGAAGGTCATATGGATTGGGGACAGGGCAAGCAGAGGCCACCGCTCTCTCAATCCCTGGTTCCTGTACATTCTTCCCTCCCCAAATTCTTCCATCTCTCAAAACTGCATGTTTTCTAAAACCAGATATATTGGGTCGTCAGGAAAGTCACGCCGCGTTTTTGCATAGAAAAAAACCCGCCATGCTTTCCCAGTGACCTAATAGACACAGGAATGCACGTGAACACGGATGGGGGAAGCGGCAGACACAGGTGGATGTGGGTATTGATACAGAGGAAGAGGTGCATAAACACAGAGCTAGATTTCCATTTGGAAGTAGACATAGATACGGAAATCTGTCTGGGAGGAAACAGATGAAAAAGTACTACTCTAGATTCTGCTGCTTCCCCAGATTCTCTCAGCCTCCAAGATAGTGGCTCTCAAATCTGGGAAGTGCTTCTTTTCCTTTTTAAATTGCTAGCTTGACCAGAAGAGCCTTTCTCCAAAGTGCAGCAGGTACCGCGGGAGTTCACAGGGTCACAAACAGAGGAACCGAAGCTCTCCCCACACCCTGGAAAACAGACTGAGCTGCTGGGGAGCCTGTAACAAGCCATGCTCTTCCCCTCAGTTACTTCCTGTCCCTTCAGCCCTCTCCCCTCCACCTGTCCACACTTCGCTGTCTCTCAAATAGAGGCCCCTTCTCCCCACCCCGGGCTCACTTACAGGTAGGGACGCTTGGGTAGCCAGGGACCCCAGCAGGGGCAGAGAGGTGGCCAGGAGCAGCAGGGGGGCAGCTGGACAGACCATGGCTCAGTGAAGTCCCAGAGAGCCCTCCTGCTGTCGCGTGATGCAAATATCCTTGGAGAGGAGCTGGCAGCTCAGGGCACAGAGACAGGAGGGGAGACCGGAGGGGAGCCAGTGGCAGTTTACAGAGGAAGTGTGACAGCCCGTGACTTTGAGTCAAATGGGCAGCCAGGTCACTGTGGGGCCACCTGGGAGATGCTCTGCCCAGGTTCGCCTAGGGTTCGCTGAGCAGTTCAGCCATGTTTCCAAGGATCTGGGAAATCCAGATTGTTCTAGAACCCCTCCAAGAAGCAGATTCATTGATCTCAGTGGCTTCAAAATCACGTTGGACGTGTGTGCACGTGCTCAGGACCCTACGGGATGCAGAACTAGAGGAAAAAGGGAGTAAGAACTGACGGCGGGAGCAGGCCCCATTGGGCTACTTTCTCTCTCTGACGTGTGCTTGTACATGCCTGTACACGCAACTCTAGCATTACAAGAAAAAAAAAAAAAGATAGGCCAGGCAGTGGTGTGGTTCAAGTGGCTGGATCCCACATGGCCAGCTGCACCGTTCAAGTCCCAGACCCAGCGACTTGAAAAACATGCAGGAGGTGCTGTAGTGGTTAAGGGCGCTAGACTCCTATATGGCCAACAGTGGTTTGAGTCCTGGACATGGCAGCTTGCTTTCTCACTTTCCTTCCCTCTCTCTCTTACTCTGTCCCTCTCCGGTCAAATTTAAGTAAATAAAGTTAAATAAAAATAATTCTTTTAGGGGAATAAAAAAAAAAAAAACAACAAAGAAAAACATGCTGAGTTGGGCCAGCAGATGGCATAGTGGTTACATTGCTGGACTTCCACCTGGCTAATTGCAGTTTGAGTTCCAGACCTAATGGCTTGAAACTCAGGCTGGGAGTGTGTGCAGGCGTGCCCAAGATCGCAGACGGAGAATGGAGGAGAAGGGAATGCTGCATGGCCAACCCCCTGGGGGGTAACTTCTCACTTTCTCTCTCACTATCTCTATCTCTCTGTCTCTGGTGAGTGCATGTGCCCTATGGCAAAAACCTCCAATAAAAAAGAAAAAGAAGAAAGAAAGAAAGGAAGGAGGGAAGGAAGGAAGGAAGGAAGAAAGGAAGAAAGGAAGAAAGAAAGAAAGAAAGAAAGACAGAAAGAAAGAAAGAAAGAAAGACAGAAAGAAAGAAAGAAAGAAAGACAGAAAGAAAGAAAGAAAGAAAGACAGAAAGAAAGAAAGAAAGAAAGACAGAAAGAAAGAAAGAAAGAAAGACAGAAAGAAAGAAAGAAAGAAAGACAGAAAGAAAGAAAGAAAGAAAGACAGAAAGAAAGAAAGAAAGAAAAAGAAAGAAAGAAAGAAAGAAAGACTCTGAGCACTGTGTGTATGTGCTCAAAATCCATAGAGGAGAATGAAAAGGGATTGCAGTATGGTCATTACCCCCCCCCCCCCCCGGGGGAGTTTTTGCCTCCCCCTGCTATTTTGTAATTCCCCCCCCCCCCCCGGGGGTGATTTCTCACTTTCCCTTCTCTGTCTCTTTTTCTCTCTCTTGCACACATGCCCTATAGCAAAAGAAAAAAAAAAGAAAAAAATTATGAAAAATGTGAGCTGTGCGTATTATACAAATCATAGATGGCTGTAAGATGGTAATGCTGCTCCATGAAAGAAGGATTTTCTGGGACCAGCAGTTAGCGTAGTGGCTATGTCGCTGGACTCCCACGTAGTCGACCGCGGTTCGCGTCCTGGATCCGGTGGCTTAAACTCACGCCAGGCGCGTGTACGTGCGTGCCCAAGATCCCGAGAGGAGAATGGAGGAGAAGGGATTGCGGCGTGACCATCCCCCCTGGGGTGTGATTTCTCGCTTTCTGTCTCTCTGTCTCTCTCTGTCTGTCTGGCGAGCGCACGCGCCCTATAGCAAAAACCTCTCCAAAAAGAAAAGAAAGAAGGATTTTCTCTACTAGTGAACAACGGTGAAGGTTGAAGGTTTGGGAGGGGGTCACTCATGGAAACGCAGGCGTAGGAGTCAGGCAGCTGGAGATCGAAATCAGCGTCGTTACTGGAAAAGCTGAGGGAGAAGACGGTCTGGACCTAAGCTAGTCGTGCTTCCCAGTACGTCCTCCTTGAACTGAATGCATTTCTCCCGTCACTGACAGCGGGGCAGCTCCAGGAGCCCCCAGTGGGGCAGGGGGAGCTGAGAATGTGTGGAGGCTCCATCACTCCAAAAGAGGGAGCCCCCCATTCTCCAAGTCTTACCAATCGGAATAGTCACTTTTCATTTAGGGAACAGAGACAGATCAGAGACTAACTTTCTAGAGAGTGGAAGTTCCCTCCTCTCTGCGGAAGGGTGAGAAAAGGGGAAGAATTTCCAGCCAACACCATGCAGTATTGATTATAACAACACTCACAGGGCAGGCAGGTGGTGTGGAGGTTAAGGCAGCTGGACCCCGTAAGGCTGACTGCACGGTTTGAGTCTTGTACCCAGCAGTTTGATAAGTTCGCCAAGTACAAGTGCGTGTGCCCAAAATCCTGAAAGGAGAATGGAGGAGAGACTGTGGTGTGGCTATAGACCCTGGGGAGTGATTTCTCATTCTCTCTCTCTCTCTCTCTCTCATCTCTTTTTGGCAAGCACACATGCCCCTTTACAAAACAAAGCTTATGCCAAGGAACCAGCAGGTGGTGGTGGTTAAAGCACTGGACTTCCTCCCACATGGCAGACTGTGGTTCAAGTCCCAGATCTGGTGGCTTGCTTTCTCATTTTCTCACTCTTTCTCCTTCTGTCTCTCTCTGTCTCTCTCTATGAATGTGTGTGGCCTATAGTAAATTAAATAATAATAATAAATAAAATTAAATAATTCTAAAAAAAAAAACTATGTCAAGATATTTTAGAGATAGGGAAAACTGGAAAATTTCACTTAACTAGTGATGAAATGTACAAATAAATAGATTTTATAAAGTCAATCAATCCAGAAAGTATTTTTGAACAACTTGTTAGAAACCCTAGAGAAATCTGTACTGAGAATAAAAAATGACAGGTACTAGAACTAGAAACTTATGGGACCAGCAGTTAGCGTAATGGCTATGTCGCTGGACTTCCACGTAGTCAACCAGGGTTTGCGTCCCGGACCCGGTGACTTAAAACTCACGCCGGGCACGTGTACGTGCATGCCCAAGATCCCGAGAGAACGGAGGAGAAGAGATTGCAGTGTGGCCATCCCCCCTGGGGGGTGATTTCTTGCTTTCTGTCTCTCTGTCTCTCTCTGTCTGGCGAGTACACGTGCCCTACACCAACATGCCCCAATCCTAAGAGAATGAAGGAGAAGGGATTGTGGCATGACCATTACCCCGGGGAGTGATTTCTCACTTGCTCTCTGTGTCTTGAGCATGCGCCCTATGGCAAAAACAAAAAGAAAAGAAAATGGTCATTATCTTAAAATATGGTATTGATGATCCTTGTCAGGCAAGACAATCACTTCATCTTTTCTACACCTCAGTTTTCACGTCAATAAAGTGAAGGAGTTAAATTATGTGACCTATTTTAAACATTTCTTTAAGGAATTATTTATTGGGGCTAGCAGATAGCATAGTGGTTTTATCACTGGACTCCCACATGGTCAACTGCAGTTTGAGCCCTAGCCCTGGTGGTTTGAAAATCATGCTGGGAGCACATGTGTGTGTGCCCAAGATCCCAGGATGAGAATGGAGAAGGGATGGGGGAGTTGGCCATCCCCCTGAGGAGTGATTTCTCACTTTCCCTCCCACTATCTCTGTCTCTGTCTCTCTATCTCTCTCCTCCCCTCCAGCAATCACATGTACCCTAAGGCAAAAACCTCTAAAAAGAGAAAAATATTAATTTAATTTAATTTATTATTGGGACCACCAGACGGCATAATGGTTACTTCACTGGACTCCCACGTAGGCAACCGCGGTTTGAGTTCCCGACTCTAGCTTAAAACTCATGCTGGGATCGTGTGCACACATACCCAAAATCCTGAGAAAAGAATGGAGGAGAAAGAATTGTGGCATGACCATCTCCCCTGGGAGGTGATTTCTCACTTTCTCTGTCTCTCCAGAGAGTCCATATACCCTACGGCAAAAATATCTAACACACACACAAAAAAGTATTTATTATTATTATCTTTTTCATTTAAATTTTATTTTATTTATCATTATTTTTAAATTTGCTACAGGGCATGTGCACTCACTAAAAAGAGACAGAGAGAGAGAAAGGAAAAGTGAGAAAGCAAGCCACCAGGTCTGGGATTCAAACTGCAGTTTGTGGGAATCCAGTGCCTTAACCACTATGCTACCTGCTGGTCCCCTACTATTATTATCATTCTTTAATTTTGCTATAGGACACATGCGCTTACGAGAGAGAGAGAGAGAGAGAGAGAAAGCGAGAAAGCAAGCCATCAGGTCCAAGACTTGAACCATGGTCACCTGCATGGGGGTCTAGCACACCACATCATCTGCTGGTCCCGTGACACAGCCATTGGACTTATGTTTCCCTGTAAATAATGTAATATTTTTCCTTGACTGCTTTCAGGATTTTGTCTTCATTTCTAGTTTTAGCAGTTATGAGGTATCTAGGCCAGGTCTTCTTTAGGCTTCTGCTGTTTTGGATTCACTGAGCATTTTAGATTTGTAGATATGTGTCTTTCATCAAATGTAGGCATTTCAGCCATTATTTCTTCAAATGTTTTTTCAGTAATGCACTTTTTTTTTCCCTCCCAGAACTCTCATAACACAAATGTGAGATCTTTTCAGTATTTATCCTATGGTGGCTCTGTTCAGTTTTTCAGCCTCTGTAATTAAGATTGCATCATTTTTCTTGATTTATCTTCAAAATGACTGACCCTTTTCTTTGTCATCTCTAGTCTACTATGGAACCTGTGGTATAAGACGGAATAAGGATCATCCAAGGTGATCAGTCCTATTTACAACTACTGCAGATGTGCGCCTCCCAGTGGCCAGTCTGGGACTTATGTGATGGCCTATCTCAATGCTGATTTTATACCCG